TTAATGTCGTTTGTGAAATTCGTGCTGATAAATGATTATTATCAGTAATCATGATCACAGCGGCGCGGCGCCTCAATCAGATTCATCCGCGCCGGAGCCGAAGCACAACTCACGTGACGACCAAAACAATCTTCCTCCGCCAGTTACTGTAGTTTATATTGATGCTTAAAGTATATATATATACTGTATATATATATACAGTATATTTTATTCTTTTTACATACATGTGCGTGTATGTGTGTGTATATGTTTGCTTACATATATACACATTGGCCTATTGGTCTTTTATTTATTTATTTATTTATTTTAGTGGTTGTTTTAACTGTAAACCTTATTTTTGCACTGAAATAGGATTGCACATAATTTCCTTGTACTTTATGTATAATGACAATAAAGATTCTGATTCTGATTACATAGTGTAGCTTTAAACACTAAAAATAATAAAAAGAATCAGTCTTTTACATACTTGATTTATTATTGTACCATATGAATCGTTTCCAAATGTCTTATGTGAACTCGTATAGCCCCATGTGTGTACCACAGACCGTATCATTTAGAGCTCTGCGTGAAGTCAAACATCTGCTGGTGTCTGAAAATGTAAAGCAGGAATCACAGATCATCCAACCTGTTTGTTAAAATGTCTGAAATGCACAGAAACTTGCCAAAAAATAAACATAGCTATCAGATCCACCTGTAAGTTGCATTTTTTATGTTAAAAGGCCAATTTCTCATGTTTCCATGCGAGTCTGATTTGAAGAATGTGACTGGAGGAATTAAACACAACAAACTCGAACCTCTTAAAAAATGTGTTTTAATTGAACAGCTGTACAAAACACAGTCTCTCTCTTCCTTCTTCCTCTGTCCAGCTGTTTCCACAGCGGCCCGCCTTCCCATCATGCAGTGTGTAAACAAATCGTGTGATTTCCCATAGGAGGCTCTTGTCCAGATGGACTGTCTGAGTGTAAACGTCACATAAAACGGCCGAAAACGGGCCCCGAGCACCAGAGAGGAAATACAGTGCCCATAAAGATGATGTAGTTTTGATATTTACAATAAACAAAAAGAAAATCTTCATCTGGCATTTTAAAAGTCAGATTAAAATATAATTGTAAGTAATATTTTACCTAAATCAGAATGATTCCCAGAATGCAACCCTCCCCTCACACATAGTATAAATGTATCCCAGCAGCCCAAGAGCTGAAGGACAGCTACAATAAAAAATTATATTTATTTATCTAACTATCAGCTAAACTGTGAAGATGGATTCAGGTTCATGTTTTCAAGTGGTTTTAGTAGGGATGCACCAATACAGACATTTAAAATGATAAACAGCCTTATAAATGCATATGTGTTTAAATATTGTTTCATTTCATTCATTTGACATTATATATATATAAACATTATATAAATAAAAATCTAAATGTTATGACGGTTAAACACTAATACAGACAACTGATATTTTTTATTAACAATTATCAATATAATTGCTGATATTATACATATTTCATATTTTACCTGCTTTAAAAAAGGTTAACAGTAGAGATGCAATATAGAATTTTTCATGCGAAAAGTAAAATACATCGAAAAATATAAATGTGCAGTAGAAATTATGGAGAACTATGGAAGCTTGTTTCTGCCATATACTGTAGATTAAAAACTAAAGGTTACTATGATTTTTGTTATCTCACAGTTCTGAAATATAAATATTTCTAAGAATTGCAAATTATAAACTCAGAATTGTGAGCTATACATTCGCAATTTTGAGAAAAAAGTCGCAGCTGCCTTTTTAATATTTTTTATTCTGTGGTGGGAAAAAAAGAATTGCGAGATGGAAACTCAGGATTCCGATAAAAAAGTCAGAACTGCAAGATATAAACTCACAAAACAAAGTAAAAATTGAGCTAAAAAGTCGCAATTATCATTTTAATGTCGGAAACAAAACAAAAACAGAATTGCATGATATAAACTCAGAATTCTGAGGGGGAGAAAAGTCAAAATCGCGAAAAGTTAACTCCAAATTACAATAAAAAAGTCAAAATGGTGAAAAGTAAACTCTGAATTCTGATAAAAGAAATTTAAAATTGCAAAAAGTAAACTCAGAATTTCGATAAAGTCAGAAATGCGAAAGAAAACTCTGAATTCCAATAAAAAAGTCAGAATTGTGAAAAGTAAACGTATGTACGTGAACGTCTCTGAGGAAGAAACTCCTCCACCTCCATCCCATCATGACGGTCCATAGCAACCACTGCTTCCCTAGTGACAAATCAAATAAATAAATAATTGTAAAATAAAAATTTAAATAAATTATTTAAAATAAAACACTTACTAAACATGAAGTAAAAAATTTTCAATTAAAATAAATCAATCATAAAAATAAAAACAAGCAACTAACTAAATAACAAATAACTAATTAAAATGTAAAATATATATATTTTTTTTAAATAAAAATTTGATTGTAAGTTATCAAATTAAATGATGAAAAATGTAAAATAAAAATAAAATAAAAATAAAAATAAAACACTAACCAACAACTAACTTCGTAAAATGAAAACAAACAAATCTTTTAAAAATAAAAACAATAAAAACGTTTATATAAATCATAATATATATATATATATATATATAATATAATATTATATAATCACTTTTAAATGAATACAATCAAAATAAAACTCTTATTAAAAATTAAATCAGAAATATTTTAAATGAAAATAAATCATTTAAAAATAAAAACAAATCAAAGCAAGATACTTACTAAAAATTAATTTAATCAAAAACGTCAAATTAAAATGAATCACTAACTAACACACATTTCCAAGATCTGTGTGAAGAGGTGTGAAGCTGGTCAAATCTGAATTTAAGTCCAACATAGAAATCCAGATTTTGCAGTCAGGGAGAAAAACCTGTTTATTGTAGTAATATATTTGAATGTTTTAATGTCTAATTAAAATCATTTATTACAATAAACCTTTTTTGTGAATGTCCATATTTAACTACACGTTGTCATATAAACATCCAATCACTGAGTCAGATGTTAATTCAGAAACCACTCAGTGATTCTTTAGACTGATTCATTCTGATTCGTTTGAATCGATTCATTATAAGAACTGGTTCATGAGAGTCATTTGTTTGCAAATCAGACGGCTCTGAAGTAACACCAAACGTGCCGTACCTTCTCCAGTCGGTGTAGTAGAGGTTTCTGCCGTAAGACACGACGGCGAACGGATACTGAATCCCTTCGGTCAGTTTCCTCCTGAGACGAGAGAACGGATCGACACACTCCACCTGACGGGTTCCTGAAACACACACACACACACACACATTACCAGGATTCAACAGAGAGAAGAATGCAAAAGAAAAGTCATGCTTCTGGCCTGATTGTGAATGATTCATCAGTGATGTTATTATAAAGAAAGAGAATACCTTCATAATCTTTCAACAACAATAGCCACTACTGTATTAAAAGTGCTTGATGATTTATGTTGCTAAATAAATATGAAGCTGACCTGCATCATAGAGTCATAAAACCGTCAAATTAAAATAAATGAATAATTGTCAAAATAAAACACTTAAAACCATAAAATGCCCAAATAAAATAAAGAATTAAAAAAACAACCAAAATAAAAACTGTTAAAATGTCATAAAAAAATGTTAAATTAAAATAAATTATTTAAAAATAAACATAATCAAAATAAACCCTTTCTAAAATTAATTAAATCATAAAAATGTGATATTAAAATAAATATATAATTAAAATGAAACACTTACAAAAAATTAATAAAATCATAAAATGTCAAATTAAAATAAATAAAAATTAATAACTCATTAAAAATCTAATAGAAAATTTGGAATTAAAATAAATAAATCATTTAAAAAAATTATCCAAATAAAGCACTTACTAAAAATAATTAAATTATCCAAAAATGTACATTTAAAATTAATAAATCATTTTTAAAAAATCAAAATAAAACACTTACTAAAATGAATTAAATCATAAATATAAAATGAATAAAATCACAAAAATGTCAAATTAAAATAAATAAAAATTAACTCATTAAAAATCTAATAGAACATTTGGAATTAAAATGAATAAATTACTTTAAAAAATATCAAAATAAAGCACTTACTAAAAATAATTAAATCATCAAAAATTTACATTTAAAATGAATAAATAATAAATAAATAAAAAATCCAAATAAAACACTAAAATGAATTAAATCATAAATATAAAATTTACATAAATAAATCAATATAAAAGTAAAATACTAAAATAAATAAAATAAACAAATTATTTAAATAAATAATTTAAAAATAAAAACAATCAAAATAAAACACTTACTAAAAATGAATTAAACCATTGAATAGGGTAACATTTAAATAAACAAATCATATAAAAATAAAATGCTTTTATGCACTGCAACAGAAAAGTCATGCTTCTGGCCTGATTGTGAATGATTTATCAGTGATGTTATTATAACTCATCATCATCTTTCAACAATAATAACCAAACGTGAATCATGATTTATGACCTGCGTCCGCCCAGCAGAGCTGCCTGCTCTGGGGGTCAAAGGTCAGAGCGTTGGGCAGCCCCAGCCCGTCCTGCACCAGCACTGTCCTGTCGCTGCCGTCCAAACCGGAGCGCTCGATCTTGGGCCCGTCTCGGTTCCAGTCGGACCAGTACAGGTATCTGGAGAACAGAGACGTGTCATATATGTGACCTGCAGCACAAAAGCAGTCTTAAGTCGCTGGGGTATATTTGTAGCAATAGCCAAAAATACATTGTATGGATCAAAATAATACATTTTTCTTTTATGCCAAAAATCATTAGGATATTAACCGTTAAAGACCGAGACAGCCGACCACGGCTAAAAATAACTATTGTTCTTAAATGTTTATTATAAAACAGATAGTTCCAGTCCTTGATTCTGATTATTATTATTTAATAATTCAACAGCTCGTCGTCAAGAATTCCTTATTGTTACAGTAGTGTTCCCAATGTAGCCTATTTTGAAACTGTTATAATTTAAACTTTGATTTAATGTAGAGTATTTATATTTGAATGTAAATGAGTTAAAGTTTAAATCAAGTGTCATCTTTTAAAGGTGACTAATAAAGCAATAAGCCCCAAGCCCCTCCGCTTCGCATTGTGCCAAACAACGCCCCTTAGCTGTTATAAATTCACTGTAAACCACGTCTTCACGGGGCTTATTGCTTTATTAACCTTTGAACCGCTAATCCTATCTGAATGCTTTAAAAAGTGTTGTAAAGCAGAGATTTGGATATTCAGTGGCTCCGTAGCGTTCGTGATCACATTTTGACAACATTGATTCGTCAGAAGAAACCAATGCATTTCGTTCCTCTGAGACAAACAGGAACGATTGTTGATGCTTAGTCCCACCCCTGCGCCCAGATTGGTTCAAACAGTCTCATATTCAACCAATAAACATAGGTTTTGGTCTTTTGAACCATCATTTAGCATGTTTCTTTAGAAATTTGAGCAAACGCAAAGTGAAAGTAAAGTGTGTCGTGCGTGCATGTAAACAAACACAAAATAACACATTTGCATGAGAGCACTCTCTGAGTCTGAAAAAGCCCAGAAAAACACAGGACAGAGCACTTTGGAATAAAACAAACCAAAAACAAGGATGCAACAGCGGTACATATCGGATAAAGCACTGGAATTTATGTCCCGGTAAAATCGACTCTGACGCAGAGTACAGCCAGCGGATCGATCCATTTGGCTGTTATATTATGTAAATAATACTTATATAGTTCATGCACTATTTTTTCTCTTGCACTCTGTATATTTCCCTCCCATTTTGTGTCTAGTTTGTGAATCATTTGCACTGCTTGTATTTTTGTTGCACACGACAACTTGCTGCACTGTTTGTGTTTGTTGCTCATACTCAGATTAAAAATATATTTTTCTGGGAAAAAAAAGTCACTTTTATACTGCATTTTGTTATTATATAACACAGTTTCCATTTTCTTTACTCCCTAAATGTTTTTGGACACATCTATATTGTTAGGAAACTAAATATGGCTAAATATTTTTATTTATGACTAAATATATAAATATTGTTCACTGAAAAGCGCCTATAACCATATTGTAATAAATAGCTATAACTTGCTTGGGGAATGTTATATGTAGACCAAATTTTATTTGGAAGTGTAAACTTTGACCTAAAACAAACCAACAACAAGGATGAAACAGCGGTACATAGCGGATAAAGCACTGGAATTTAGGTATTCATGTCGCTAGGCAATGTCCCGGTAAAATTAATTCTGACGCAGAGTGCAGCCAGCGGATCGAATCATTTGGCTGTTATATTATGTAAATAATAGTTCATAAAGATCATTTGCACTATTTTTTTCTGTTGCACTCTGTATATTTTGTTATTATATAACACGGTTTCCATTTTCTTTACTCCCTAAATGTTTTTGGACACATCTATATTGTTAGGAAACTAAATATGGCTAAATATTTTTATTTATGACTAAATATATAAATATTGTTCACTGAAAAGCGCCTATAACCATATTGTAATAAATAGCTATAACTTGCTTGGGGAATGTTATATGTAGACCAAATTTTATTTGGAAGTGTAAAACACCCAGATACAACTTTCTAAAGAAAACAATCCAAACTTCAGGAGTTTCCGTTTGAGTAGACGGTAAAAAACACCAAATTATTGCTTGCATTTTTCTTAAAATTCTGGAAATTCATTAATTCCAAGAGAAATCAAAGGGAAAACTGGGACTTTAAATGAGCTAGACTGAAACTTCAAGTTCTCCTGTTTATAATGATATATATGACACTTGATGCTGACTGCTAAAATAGGTCTTAAAAAACAAAGAAAAGCAAGGGTTAATTAAAGATCATGTTCCATGAAGATATTTAGTAAATGTCCTACCGTAAATATATCAAAACTTAATTTTTGGTTAGTAATATGCATTGCTAAGAACTTCATTTGAACAACTTTAAAGATGATTTTCTCAATATTTAGATTTTTTTGCACCCTCAGATTCCAGATTTTCAAATAGTTGTATCTCGGCCAAATATTGTCCTATCATAACAAACCATACATCAATGGAAAGATTATTTATTCAGCTTTCAGATGATGCATGAACCTCAATTTCACAAAATTGACCCTTATGACTGGTTTTGTGCTCCAGGGTCACATATGTGTGTGTTTTCTTCAGAGCAGCGTGATCAAACGCACACGTACCCGTAGGCGGGGTCAGCGACGATCGGTCGCGGGTTGATAAGGTCACTGTCAAAGACGAGGCGGCGCTGACTGCCGTCTAGTCTGGACACCTCGATGCGGTCCAGTATGGAGTCGGTCCAGTACATGTTTCTGGACATGTGATCGATGGCGATTCCTTCAGGGCTGCCCAGATCTGCTCACAGAAACATCCATAACTAGAGCTTGATATGTTTCAAAAAACAAAACAAATGTCGCAAAGAATTTTTTGAAGTAACATTTTGTTTGAATGTCATTACATTAAATAAACGATCAAAGCAAGTGGCATTTATTTAATATTTTTTATTTATCACAGGGTTTCCCAAGCTGGGGTTCATGAATGAGCTGATTGAAATCTAATAATTAATTGCTAAAAATTTATTAAATCATACAAATTTTAAATTAAAATAAATAATTTTAAAAGAAAAACACTTCAAAGTAAAACACTTTAAAATTAATAAAACGATAAATTATAAAACAATAAAAAATGTAATAAAAACATAATTTTTAAATAAAAACAATCAAAATAAGACACTAGTTAAAAATTAAACCATAAAAATGCGAAATTAAAATAAATACATAATTAAAAAGAACACAATCTAAATAAAACACTACAACAATTATATCATAAAAATGTTATACTATAATAAATAAATAATTTAAAAATAAATCAAATAAAAAAGTATAAAACTGTAAAACTAAAATAAATAATTAAAAAATAAAAACAGTAGAAAATGTATTAACCACTAATTAAATCGTAAAAATGTAAAATGAAGATAAATAATTTAATAACAATCAAAATAAAACACTAAAAAAGTAATAATAAAAATGTACAATTAAAATATCTTTTTTTAAATAAAAACAATCAAAACAAAAGACTTACTAAAAATTAGGTGAAAGGGGTTGAGCTGATGAAAGCGTATTGTAGTGTGATTGTGAATCAGTATTAGAGAGTCGCTCACCTTTAGTGACGAGGACCGAGGTTTCTCCTCCCTGCAGCTTCGCTCTGCTGATGGAGGGCTGAGTGATTTCAGACCAGAAGATCATCTGCTCCACGCAGTCGAACGCCAGCGCGATCACCACTTTACCCTGCAGACGTCAACACAAGACCAACAGATGCATGAGACACAGAACAGCAAAACAACAGAAGCAGCAACAGCCCACGAAACATGATGCTGTAAGGAACAAAAATATTCAGACCAACTTCACACTCGCACAAGTTCATTTGCAGTAAAAAGTCATTTTACATACTTGTTTGTTTGATTATTTAATGCTATGCCAGCTACCATGGCTATTTTCATGGCAAAAATTGTTAAAATGTACATAAATAAATAGGTTAAATTAAAAAATTAATACTTTTTTTTTTAAATGTTTTAAATGAAGAAAATATTAATTAATTAAATTAATCTAAAAATTAAAAAATGTAGCTATATATATACATATATAGGAATTTAAGTTAATGTAGCAAAAAAAGGTTCAAATGTAGCAAAATATAAATGAATGACTGAATAAATAAACAAAGAAACAAATACATACAGTTAAAATTAAGCAAAATATAAATTAATAAATAAATAATAAAAAAATTTTAACGGTTAAAATGAAGCAAATATTAATTAATTAATTAAAAAGGTAAAAATGTAGCTACATACAAATAAATAAATACATGTAAAAAAAATTAAAAGGTTAAAATATAGATAATTATAAATAAATACATAAAATACATATAAAGGTTAAAATGTAGCAAAATATGAAGAATGAATGAATATGGTTAAAATGTAGCAAAATGCAAATAATTTTTAAAAAGTAAGCTTAAAATGTAGCAAAATTTAAATTATTTTAAAAGTCATTTTAAAAATAGAAAGGTTAAAGGGTTAGTTCACCCAAAAATGAAAATTAGCCCATAAATTACTCACCCTCAAGTCATCCTAGGTGTATATGACTTTCTTCTTTCAGACGAATCCAGTCGGAGTTATATTAAAAATTGTCTTTGATCTTTCAAGCTGTTTAATGCCACTCAGAGGGTGTTGCAGTGCTTCAGTCCAAAAGAAGTTAAATAAAAATCACCCATCCATAAAAAAAAAGTGTCTCACACGGCTCCGGGGGGTGAACAAAGGCCTCCTGTAGCGAATCGATGCGTTTTTGAAAGACAATTTTTAATATAACTCCGACTGGATTCGTCTGAAAGAAGAAAGTCATATATACCTAGAATGCCTCGGGGGTGAGTAATTTATGGGCTAATTTTCATGTTTGGATGAACTAACCCTTTAAATTGTAGAATTTTTAAAAAATATATTTTTTATAGCGTTCAGTTTGAATCTCAAACATCCCACACATAACGGTCAATCAAAGACGAGCAAAATCATGTCTTGTTTACTAGTTTTCCTGCTGGAATGTGTCAGACTGACTCATGACTGAAGACCGTGTCTGTCTGTGGTTACAAGAGCAGTAAATTGAGGTTTTGTCATATTTCAGTGCAGATTATGTGTAATTAGTGAATTTGACAGTTTCTGGATCCATTTAGAAACAATTTTCCATCATATGGTGGCTCCAAGAAACTAAAATTAATGTCTGACCATCTTTTTCTTCAACAAAACATCTATTGTTTTAGCATTTCAAACCCAACGATCTTCTGTCTGTAAAAACATTTTGTTGTAAAATGTTTGTGCATCTTTATTTACAAAAATGACACTTGCTTTTATATTTTGTGTGCAATTTAAGTGTGACTTCATTTTTTATGCTTGTTTGTTTGTTTATAATTTAAAAACATGCCAGCTAATAAGGCTATTTTCATGGCGAAAAAGGTTCAAATGTAGCAAAATATAAAAGAATAAATCAATTAATCAATTAATCAATTAATAATTTTAAAAATTAAAAAGGATCAAATTTAGCAAGGTTTAAATGTAGCAAAATATAAAATAAAATCTAAATAATTAAATCAATCAATCAATGTAAAAATTAAAAAGTTAAAATGTAGAAAAATATAAATGACTGAATAAATAAATTAATAAATAATTAAAAAAATTAAAAAGGGTAAAATGTGGCAAAATCTACATGAACGTAAAAATTTAAAAAGGTTAAAATGTAGCATAATATAAATAAATTTAGAAAGTGTTAAAATGTAGCAAAATCTAAATAATTAAATAAATAAATAAATAAATGTAAAAATTAAAAAGTTAAAATTTTGCAAAATCTAAATGAATGTAAAAATTAAAAAAGGTTCAAATGTATCTAAATAAAATGAATGAATGAATAAATAAATAAATTATTTATTTAGATTTTGCTACATTTTAACCTTTTTAATTTTTTTAATTATTAGTTACTTAAATGTAAAATTTAAAAAAGGTTAAAATAAAGCAAAATCTAAATAAATAAATGAATGCCAAAATTAAAAATGTAGCAATAAATAAATGAAAATAATTAAATAAATAAATAAAATGTAACAAATAAATAAATAAATATCAATTTATAATTTAAGTGTGACTTCAGTTTACAAATATGTTTTGGGGCCACTATGTGTGTCTAACATTCTCACAGAAGCTGTTGTAGCAGCAGTGTAAATGAGAAGTTCGTCAGAATGAGAGTAATTAACGGAAATTAACTCACAGGTACGTGCAGAACGGTCCTCGACTCGTCTTTGATCATCCGGTTGCCATCCAGCGGGATGTGATCGATCTTGCCGCTTTGGGCAAATAAGAGGTTTGCTCCAGGAGTCAGAGGACTGATGTCAGTTCTGGGGGTGGGGCCAATGAGAGGCGGAGCCACACTGTGATCAATACCTGTGAAAAGAGTTAGGGTTAAATGTCAAACTAAAAAAAATCATTTAAAATTTCCAAATAAAAAAATCTAAATAAAACAAAAATAAATACAAAAATAACAATTGCATTAAATGATAAAAAGTCAAATTAAAATAAAATAAAAAATATTTGTAATATATTTATTAAAATAAATTTAAAATTCTAAAACAAATCTTTAAAAAAACATTTATTACAAATTAATTAAATCATAAAAATTAAAACATAACAAATAAAGATAAAAAAATCTAAATTTACTAAAAAGATAAAATAGTTTAGGTAAAAAGGGTTTGGCTGACAAAATCCTTAATAATACAACAATATTCAGGCCTTTTTATGTGACTTATGTGCAAAACCTGAAAATTTTCACTTATGTGAAAAACCAATAAAACCAAACCTTTAACATTAATAGTTCTCACACATTACAAAAAATAAACTTAAGTATGAAAACGTTATTTTTTCCTGAAATTTCACAAGCTATACATTTTATAAACAGTATTGCAACTATTTAAAAAAAGTAACACATTTAAAAAAAAAAGTAACAAATTTAAAAAAAAGTAACACATTTAAAAAAAAAGTAACAACAAAAAAAAAAAAGTAACACATAAAAAAAAAAAGTAACACATTTTCAAAAGAAAAAGTGGAAAATGTAGCAAGTGTAGCCTGATCTAAAGGTGCTGTGTGTATGCTCTTACACATGGGTCTGCTGCTCGGTTGGGCTCTGGATCCGGGAAGCTCCTGTCCGGACGAGTCGACGCACCAGCACTGACCCACGCTGGCGTCACACTGCAGGGGTTCGTAAGCACCGTAAGCGTCACAGCTGGGCACATACTGACCGACGGCCGGATGCGGACGGAAGAAGAAGTATCCGCCCGAGGAAGAGGACGAGGCCTGAGCTGCTTCTCTGTGACGCTCACACGCCGTCTGCTCTTCATCTGCAGCAAACAGACCGTTACAAACACGCCAGATCATCACAAATCTCTTTATTAGGGCTGCCCTCCACTACAGTTTCTTCTGGTCGACCTGTAGTCGTTCATTTGAAGCATTAGTCGACTAATTGCACGTTTATTAATAACCCATTTAAATCATAATAATGAGCCTTTCATTGCCTACACAGCCTAATAAGAGCTTAAGCGCATGCATAAAGCTTGCCACAGCGCACCGGCAGAAGTTATGATTATGAATGTGTCGGGAAAAACAGTAAGGAGGCTGCATTACTGTAATGCAAAAAAAGTACAACTGTAAGTATAAATCAGAGCAGCATTTGCTGTGCTCAGTTTAATTAATGCAGAATTATTTTAATTGAATTTGAATCATTGTATCTGGACAGGACTACTTTCATTATTTCATTATTACAGTCTTAAAATCTGATTTTTTTTTTAATAAAAACAAATAAATAAACACACAAAATCTTAATACATGTTTTTGGTCTGATTAATTTTTTATTTCATTTTTATTATAATTTTTTTTATATATATTTATTATTTTATCATTTTTCATATTTACTTTCATTTAAAAAAATAATTCCATTCCAAAAATATTCTGAAGAAAAAACACATTATTTCAACATTATTTACAAAATCAGCATTGTTGTACTGAATTTAATTAATGCAAAATTATTTTAATTTTATTTTATTTTAATCATTGTATCTGGAAAGTTTGATTTTCATTATAATATCACCGTCTTAAATATCCTAAAAAATAAATAAATAAAAACAAACTAGCAAACTTTAACAACAACATGAAATACAAATGTGTCTTAATATATTGTGAACAATTAATTTTGTATTTATTTTTATTATTTATTATTATAACTTTTATTTATTTATTATTTTATCATTTTTAACATTTACTCAAAATCCTGGCCTACATTATTTACAAAAGCAGCATGTGTTGTGCTGAATTCAATTAATGCTAAATTATTTGTATTTTATTTTATTTTAATCATTGTATCTGGAAAGGATGATTTTCATTATAATATCACATATCATAAAATGCCTTAAAAATAAATAAATAAAAACAAACAAACAAACTTTAACAACAACATGAAATACAAATGTCTTAATATATTGTGAACAATTAAATTTTTTATTATTATTTAATTATTTATTATTATAACTTTTATTTATTATTTTTACTTATTTATTATTTTATCATTTTTAGCATTTACTCAAAATCCTGGCCTACATTATTTACACAGCAGCATGTGTTGTGCTGAATTCAATTCATGCATAATTATTTTTATTATATATACAGTATAACTAATTACAATTATAAAATTAAAATTGTATCTGTACAGGAAGATTTTTAACTACGGTTAAATCTCTATTGAATTTTAATCATTGTATCTGGACAGGATTACTTTCATTATTACAATCTTAAAAATCCTAAAAAGGCTCTAATAAACGAATGAATGAATACTCATATACATAATATTTTTTCCCCCCTGAGGTTCACTTATAATATAAGCCATGCTTTATCCCAAAAATGGTTAAAAAGTAGTTTTTAACTATTGCTTTCCTCCGTCTCCTCAGCACTTACAACTAAACAGGCTGCTGTGCCTTTAAGAAATGTGCAACAATGCAGAGTTCCTCCTCATTTCCTCATCGAGAGGACGAGACGTTTCTGAACACAAAGAAAGACAAACAGAAGGACTTGTGACACTTAAAGCAAGCACGAATGTGTCGGGCTGTAATTATTTATCACTGCCCTTAAATTAGGAGAACACGTCCCGCTTGTCAAACGCTCACAGACAGAAACAGACTCGCTAAAGTGCTGGGAAATATTCGCCGCAGGGGAAATCTGCAGAAGTACGAGCCTCAGTTTAACACGACTGAACAGAGCAAGAGTTCAGCGATTCGGGAAAACTCAATGAGCCATCTGTGATTAATAAATGTTATTTCATGAAATAAATAAAAAAATCGGTAATTATATATTTTGCGTAAAGAAAATAAAACCTAATTTTAAGATCAATAAGATTGTCTAAGTTAATTTGTGCTAAAAAAATTGATTTTAAAATCAGTATATATACATACACACTACTGCTCAGAAGTTTGGGATCAGTAAGACTTGTAATGTGTTTTAAAGAAGTCTCTTCTGCTCATCAAGGCTGCATTTATTTGATCAAAAATACAGAAAAAAACAGTAATCTTGTAAAATGTTATTAGAATACAAAATAATGGTTTCTATTTTAATATCCTTTAAAATATAATTTATTTCTGTGATGCGAAGCTGAATTTCCATCATCATTACTCCAGTATAAAGTGTCACATGATCTTCAGAAATCATTCTAATATGCTGATTTATTATTAGAATTATTATCAGTTGTGCTGACAAATATTTTTTTTTGGGAAACAGATACTTTTTCAGGATTCTTTGATGAATAAAAAGTTAAAAAGAACAGCATTTATTCAAAATATAAATCTTTTCTAACAATATAGCTATCTGTGCTATCACTTCTTAACAATTTAACACATCCTCGCTGAATAAACGTTTTAATTTCTTTCAGAAAAAGAAATAATAAAAATTTACTGACCCCAAACGTTTGAACGGTAGTGTATATTGTTAGAAAAGATTTCTATTTTAAATAAATGCTCTTCTTTTTAACTTTCTATTCGTCAAAGAATCCTGAAAAAATACAGTTTCCAGCACTGATAATAAATCAGCATATTATACTGATTTCTGAAGATCATGTGACACTGAAGACTGGAGTAATTCAGCAATGCATCACAGAAATAAATTACAGTTTAACAGATATTCACATAGAAAACAGCTATTTTAAATAGCAATAATATTCCACAATTTTACAGCATTTTTGCTTAATTAACTGTATTTTATATGAATTTTTGTGGTTATATATAACCTGCACATGGTTTTGAGAGTCAATCTATTTTTTTAATCACAAGTGAGCAGGTGAATATTACATGACTGTCAGTGTGAAGGAGCTGTGAGCTTTAATGCTGCTCCAGATGATCAGTACAGTATATAAAACAGAGCATACATTCCTCTGTATGAGAGCCATATGATAATGTAAACCAGGCCGAGCAAAACCCCAGACGAAGAGGAAGGAAAACACTCAGACAAATTACAATGAGTGCTTCTTATCTGACCATCGCCGAAGAACAGACGCTTTCACAGCCGTGAGAAGAGTGTGGGAGAGAGAAACTGAGGCACTGAACGACAAAAATGAAGAAACAGCATTCTTGTGTGCTTTAAAGTCAACATTGAACCCAAATGGACTTCATTTAAATCTTCATCTAAATATGTGTGTTTGGTCTTATTGTGAATGATTCATTCATTTTTAATAGAATTGTTATTAATAAAAAAAGTATACATTTTTAAATACTTTATTATTTTATAATTTTTAATACTTATTTTAATAAAACAAATCATAGCATCTGGTGGACTTTCATCAGTGCATGTTATTCTGAAGAAAAATATACTTATTTTCATCACTGAGATACTATTATAGTTTTTGTTAATATTTTGAATTAGAATTTTTATATATATTTTCTATGTTTATTTAAGTTTTAGTAATTTGCTGTGTTTTTGCCATTTTCATTATTATTATCTTTTTTTTTTTTTTTTTAAATAAGTCTATATTAAGTTTTAGGTTTTAGTTTATGAGTAAAATATATTTTTTATTTTTATTTTTTGTAAGTTTTAATAGTTAATATAATAATAATAATAATAATATATGTTTAAAGATATATACAGTATGTAAATTATTATATTTGTAATTTTATTTTTAAGACAGTAATACATCCTTAAAAATTCATAAAAGGCCCTGAAAAAAGTAAACAAACATTAAAATCAACATGAAATCCAAATGGACGCTATTTATTATCTTAATATATGTTTTTTTGTGTTATTATGAATCATTCATTTTTCATTAATTTTCTATTATTTATTAGTATAATGTTTTACTAATCTTTTTTTATTTATTTAGCATTTTATAATTTTTCACATATATATATATATATATTAAACTGGGTTTTATTTTTATACTTTCTGTTTTCATTTTAATTTAGGTTAGTTTTAGTAATTTTTTGTTGTGTCTTTCTCATTTTTATTAGTTTTAGTTTTAGTTATTTTAGTATTTTAACTTGCTGAAATAAAATAAGTTTAAGTTTTTAATATATCCGATTTTATTTCAGCTCATGTTTATTTTTTTTTATGTAATGCATTTTTTTTTTTTTTTTATGGGTTGAATTATACTTAACATTATAATAGCCCTGGTTTTCATAGAAGACTCGCAGAAGTTAAAAACGTAATTTGACACTGATTTTAAAGCATCCTATAAGCGTCACACCACACCTACCGGATCCAGGTGTGCAGCTGAAGCCGTCGCCGTGGAAACCAGGCCGGCACTGACAGGTGAAGGAGCCCTGGGTGTTGTGGCAGATGGCATCGCTATGGCAACGGCCCGGCTGGCACTCATCGGTATCTGCGTGAGAAAATCACTTCAGTTCTACACGTGCAAACAGCTCTATATGTACAGAATCAGCTCTATATGAAGGAATGCACATCTGCTGCGTGTTATTACTGAAGTATGTCCACCCTGCAGCGAATCACTCTCCCACGGCCGAACAAACACACACCAGCCCTTCCTTACAGCTGGAGCGTCTCAATATGTGAGACCCAACTGCAATCTGTCTGACCATCAGCCGTCATGAAGTGATAAATTATGCACACAGCTGTGCCGAGCATTTCCTGTCCAGATCACAGCACTTCCTGTCTCCAGGGGCCCCGCTGTCTGCTGCGAGACTAAATCTACAGACGCTTCTCTGTACTGAATAACCACACTATTGTCTGTTTAGAGCTGAGTTACAGCAGAATTTGAATTTATATCATATTCGATGAAGTTTGCATCACTAATTATGTTGTTTCTCTGTTTATTACTGTGAAGCTGCTTTGAAACAGTCTGTTTTGTATAAAGCGCTATAGAAATAAAGGTGACTTGACGAACGTCTTCAAAGGTTTCTTCATCTAAACCAGAATAGAGGAGGACCATTGATCTGAAATCATTTAAAATAAGACAAAACAAGCTTTTAAATAGTCTAAAACAAATCAAAATCAACATTTCTTATTTTTAATTCAAGAAATTAATTCTGTTTTTGTCTCTAAAGAACCAGGATTGGAAAACCTGGATATATGAGGAAGAATCGTTTTAAAATTGTGATTTCTAGACTTTTTAAAAGTCATAGAAATGAATAAAAAGAAAATGTATAATGAACGCACATTTACTAGTTATTGCAAAAAAATAAAAATACAAGTTTAGTAAAAAAAAATTTAACTTTTTTTTTACAAAAAAACACTCAAACTATAAACTAAAATTAAACTTTTAAACTCCAGGGTCACATAGGCTAGTAGCCGTGTTACTCCCCAACACTGCTACTAGCCATATAGACATTTTCCTGTGTATTTTACGCTCAGCGGTGAGTGAGATGTTACCCTGACACGCCCGTCCGTCTCCAGAGAAGCCCGGCAGACACAAGCAGATATAAGACGAGTCTCCTGTGTAGCTGCATCGGGCGCGTTCGGGAGCGTCGCAGTCGTGCGTTCCTCTCTGACAGTGATCCACGGGACGCTCAGTCTCTGCACGGGACACAATCACAGAACTAAATTCGAATTCTGCACTTAAATATTATCAATATTCGAATTATAATAGAATTTAAAAGGCATAATATCAGTCAGGGGCGTAAATCACGGGTGGGACGGGGGGTCAGGACCCCCCCCCATCTGAGGGTTGTCCCCACTAAAAATATCATTACAAACTTAAAATAATTGTGTAAGTAGTAAAACAATACGTTTTAAGTTTAGAAACGTTTTGAGTCTCCCCTCATACCCATGTCATTATACACATTTGTGTCCTCATAAACCATATATACCTGTACACACAGACAGACACACAGACACACACACACACACACAGGCACAGACACACACACACACAAACACACACACACACACACACACACACACACACACATATACACAGTACACACACACACACACACACTCACAGACTTTTTCGACGAATATTCGAAATTCAAATTTTTTTTGACAGCCCTAAATCACAGCAAACTCAAACCCCGTTCAGAAGCGTTCAGAGCGTGTCTCTAAAACACAGGCTCTTACCGACACACGTCCGTCCGTCGCCGGCGAACTGAAAACCATCCAGACATTCACAGCGGAAAGATCCCGGCTGGTTGTTGCAGATGCTGTATGGACCACAGATCCGAGGGCTTTCTGAACACTCATCAACATCTGAGAAACAAAGAGAAAAATTCATATATTAACACAGACAGCAGGTCAATATAAGCTTTTATTTTGAAGGTTTTTTATTAACTCTTTCCCCGCCAAACACAGAATTTTCCGGGTTGTACGCTAGGGGGCGCTATTACGCATCTCCTGAATTAAGTCTCCATAATCACTCGATCAAAAACACAGGCCAGGAAGACACAGAAACGAGCGATCTTATATGTAAGCATATGCATATGAAAAATAATGCGATCATCAACACTAACGGCATATAAATGAAAACTGCCAAATGCTACCGAGTGAAATGTCAATCCAGAAAGTGATAAAGGCCTGTGCAAGCTTTGGGAGTGTTGACGGAAGCCATCTACTGCATCTTTGCTTTGATAATAGAACTGAATATGATCCAGATGTAGTACTTGATAAAAATGCGATTTTGCTCAAAATGTTGCTTTTTTAATGAAACCTACCAACATTCAAGTGTTGATAAAAAAGATTGCTTGAAGATACAATAAAACTGATTTTTTTTGTTTACTTTGATGTATTGCATGTTCAGATATTCATACAACAAAATATTCTGGGGGCCATGAAATTTTAGTGAAAATCATCAAAAATGCTGGCGGGGAAAGTGTTAATGGAAATACTCAGGGACAGAGGCCAATGCTGAAATCTGCAAAAAACATAAAGACAGTACAAGAAATACTACTATGATGTACAAATACTTCACAATTTATAGCATACATTATTTATTTTTTCATATTCTTTACTTTTATTTTATTTGACTTTACTGTTTAATTCCATTCTAACATTTTACAGTTTTATTATAAACTATTTTAATGTTGTTTTCATTACTTATATTTTGTTTCAATTGCTTGTTTAGGTTTTGGATTAGTTTGAAATGTGATGTGAAGAAAGAAAGAAAGAAAGAAAGAAAGAAAGAAAGAAAGAAAGAAAGAAAGAAAGAAAGAAAGAAAGAAAGAAATGAGTGAATAAATAAATAAACAAACAAATAAATAAATATTTAGTTAAATTTTTTAAAGACTGAATTTTTATTTAATTGTAATAATTCTGTTTTTTTTTAGACCTATTAATAAATAATACTAATACTTCTACTACTAATAATAATACTAGACATATTTAAAAATAATAAAAAATGACAAAAAGCACAACAAAATTACTACAACTTTAACTAAAATCAAAGTGAAATCAGAAAATACAAAAATTAAATACTAATAAATAAAAAATAATAAAAACTATTTAGACAAGTTTAAATAAATAATTAAATAAAGATGAACCATATAGACATTTTAAAAAAATTACAAAATTTTAACAACTAAAATTAAAGTGAAAACAAAAAATAAATACTAATAAATAAAAAAATAATAAAAACTATATTAACAATTTTATAATAATAATAATAAAAAATTATAATAATAATGACAAAAACAAACAAAACTTAATTACCAAAACTTTAACTAAAATAATAATAATAATAAAATAAATAAATAAATGTTAATTTCATCATTCCGGGTCTTTGAGATAAATTATTTAAGAGAAAAAGCAGCAATAATTAACGTCTGTTTCTGTGCATATGCGCTGGTGTCAGTTTCAACATGAAAAGCAGTTCTTAACAATAAAAAGACCCAGATCTTCTAAAAAAGGAGGACAAATTGTAGCCCAAATCATGCACAAAGTCCAGAAGGTAAAAAAAAAAGTGTTTTCTTTACACTAAATTCCAAAGAGAGGAAACATCCCATGAATCAAACACTGTATATACAGTCACAAGTCTGCATTGGATCATCGACCCGTCTGTGAACCGGGAGGTGCTTTGAAGTCAAATTAAATTATAATATAACTTCTACAACCAGAGAACAACTTGATGTATCAGCACTGAGATGAACGAGCTCTTCAGTAACTCAACGCAGATGTTTGAACAAACACTGAGCACGTTTACATGCACACCAGTAAGCTGATAACTCACAAAAATCAGCTTATTAAAATAACCAGTTTTCCCCGTTTACATGCACATCAGTAACCTGACAACGCAACTAAGCCACGTTTACATGACTTTATTAATAAATCCGGTTATTTCCCTGTAGTGACGTCAAAATATAATCATTTGCGTATCTGACTGCGAGTATTCCATATGTTGTCAGTTGTGATGTTAAATAAAGCTTGCAACATGCCAGCGGGAAACTTACAGCTCATATATCATCCTCTCATGCAGTTATAAATGCAGTGTCCACTTCTACTTCTAATGCACGAGATGAGGACACATTTTTATCATTTTCTGAGTCATGAAAGAGTCTGTGTTTGTAATATATTTCTTTCTTTTAGTGCTGTCAAATGATTCATCGCGATTAATCGCATCCAAAATAAAAGTTTTTGTTTACATAATATATGTGTGTGTACTGTGTATAATTATTATATATATGACACTGGACCACAAAACCAGTCTTAAAGGCACAATATGTAATTTTCACCACTAGAGGGCGCGTAATCAAAATAAACAAAGAGACAAAGGCGTAGTTTGATGACGGCGTGACTGAGTGTGGATCACGGGAGTTGTGATCTCCATCCGCACAGCCGATGCAATCCGACGGGACTCGGGCAGAAATCATGTTCATGGATGAGCTAATGATTTATTAACGTAGGAGGATTTGCAGCGCGTTTCTTCGTTTGCATGTGTTGTGAGGATTTGCAGCGCGTTTCTTCGTTTGCATGTGTTGTGAGGATTTGCAGCGCGTTTCTTCGTTTGCATGTGTTGTGAGGATTTGCAGCGCGTTTCTTCGTTTGCATGTGTTGTGAGGATTTGCAGCGCGAGAGTTGTTAAACTGATGAAGATGTTTTCTTAATTTGCTGGTGTTTTTTCAATTTGCATGTGTTTTCTTAAGTTGCAGCGCGTTGAGCTCTCTCGGCCACCGTAGTAAAGTGCAACTACATATTAAAGAAATCACAAAGCTATTTGATATTGATGGCAACTTTTTTTTGTTTTTTTATCTGTGAAAAGTAAACTTTTCAAAGAATTCTTTGAAAAACAGATAAAGAAATATTTCCTATCCAAGCTAAGAGAGTATACCTGTCATGAAACTGCATGGTGACACGAAGGTAGAGGATCCAAATGCAGTCGTTATTGAAGGGGTAAACCACAAACGTAATCCAAAGGCAGACAAAGGTCATACACAAATAGGCTATCCAAAACAATGACAGAGTAAGGGGTTAAAATTTTTCCCTGTTTACATGCACATCAGTAACCTGACAACGCAAGTAAGCTGCGTTTACATGACTTTGTTAATAAATCAGGTTGTTTCCCTTTAGTGACGTCAAAATATAATCATTTGCGTATCTGACTGCGAGTATTCCATATGTTGTCAGTTGTGATGTTAAATAAAGCTTGCAACATGCCAGCGGGAAACTTACAGCTCATATATCATCCTCTCATGCAGTTATAAATGCAGTGTCCACTTCTACTTCTAATGCACGAGATGAGGACACATTTTTATCATTTTCTGAGTCATGAAAGAGTCTGTGTTTGTAATATATTTCTTTCTTTTAGTGCTGTCAAATGATTCATCGCGATTAATCGCATCCAAAATAAAAGTTTTTGTTTACATAATATATGTGTGTGTACTGTGTATAATTATTATATATATGACACTGGACCACAAAACCAGTCTTAAAGGCACAATATGTAATTTTCACCACTAGAGGGCGCGTAATCAAAATAAACAAAGAGACAAAGGCGTAGTTTGATGACGGCGTGACTGAGTGTGGATCACGGGAGTTGTGATCTCCATCCGCACAGCCGATGCAATCCGACGGGACTCGGGCAGAAATCATGTTCATGGATGAGCTAATGATTTATTAACGTAG